TAACAAAAAAAAAAAAAAAAAAGAATGAATATCTTTCTTGCTTACAATTTGGAGTTCATGAGCTCATACTCTAATCTATTGGCAAAACAATATCCATGGAAATATTCTTACTTTTGCTACTACTGCTGCTGACCTCCTGATCTGATCTAGATATGTAAGATTTTTAGGAAACTATATCAAAGAACATAGTGACTGAATGAATTTGGAGGTTAAGATGAAACAGCCAAGGTCCAGTGTACCACTTCTGTTTTTTGTTTGATCAAATGGACGGGTGGGCATGGCATATGATGGGAAGTAGAGGTGAGGTGGAAAGGGAATTTTGCACACCCTGAACTTGGGCTGCATGTCGAGCCTCTGTATGGAAAGATTCAGGAAGCAGCTGGATCCATTCACTGGAATCTCAGGAAAGTAGAATGGGCCAGGGACTCAAAGGAAGAGCAAAGCATTGCTATGGTTTGAATGAACGTCCCTCAAAGACTTATGCGTTAAGAGCTTGGTGCCTAGGCACTACTGAAGCGTGGTGCAGCCGTTGGGAGGTGGAGTCTAGTGGGAGGAAGTCAGGTCACTGGGAATGTGCCCTTGAAGGGGAGGTTAGGACTGCAGCTCTCTGTCCCTCCTCCCCTCTTCCTTCCCCTATTCCTCCCCTGCCCTTCTCCCTTCCCCTCTTTCCTTCTTGTCTTCTCTGATGTGAGCAGCCTGGGGCTGGGGATTTAGCTCAGTGGTGCCTCCACCTGCATCACAAGCACAAGGTCCAGATTCTGATCCCCAGTATCAAACAAAACAAAACAAACAAACAAAAAACTGATGTGAGCAGCTCCATTAGGCACCTGCTTTCTCCATGGTTCACTGCCTCCCCACAGGTCCTGAAGCATTCTGACCAAGTGACTATGACTGAAGCCTCCAGAACTGTGGTCCAAAGTAAATCTTTCCTCTGGAAAGTTGACTCTCTTGGGTATCTTTTCACAGCAACAGAATGCAACTAACACAGCCTTGGAGGTTGATCCGGAACAGGAAGAGGAGGGTGCTCCTCTATCCCAGCTCCTTGGTGCCCATTTTAGGAGAATAAGTAACCTACTCTAAGAAAGGCTATAATAGGGCCCAACTTAGAATTAAAGGAGACTGCAAGGTGGAATCTGGTGAAAGCGGGCCTTGTGCAGAGAGCCACTCGCCCGCTGTGGGTTTTATTATGGACAGTGGGGCACTATGGGTGGGGGGAACCTGGAGATGCTGGAAGAGGGACCCAGATCAGTGCAGCACTGTTAGCCCAGTTAGCAGTTAGAGCACCTTTGCCAAGTGGGCATTCTCGGTCCCGCTTTCCCACAAGCAGTTGAGGACTCTGAGTTGTTAGGTAGCTTTCCTGAGGAAGGCTCATGGCAAGGAAACCAGCAGTGAGCGTCTGATGCCTCCCCTCCCTGAACCCCACAAGGCTGGTGAGCCAGCTCCTGCCTCCACTCACAGTTTAGCCAAGGGCAAGCACCCCCATCGGCTTAGGCTGTGTCCCCCAGTCTCTCCGGATGTACTGAGTTATGTGACCCATATAGGTCAGTGCAGTCATCTTGCTTTTCAGATTTATTTGACTCCAGAAAAGGAAATCTGTGGTGTCTTTTCATACTTGTAAAGAAAAACGTATTTTCACAATACCTCCTGTCCTGTGCTAGTGTTTCTGATGGCTTCAGGACTGGGAGACTGACACTGTATCTGTTTCCCAGCCTTCCCAGGTTTTATACAGTAGGGACCAGGTTACCTTCTGAACAGATCCAGTGTGTAGGTCATAGATACAGAATAGAGGCTGTGAACCCTTTGGCAGGTGAAAAGGCTATGGGAAGACTGGAGAATTGTGACTTCCCTATTCATTTTCATACCCCAGCCTCCTCCTCCCCTGCCAGACTCAGATGCCCCTTAAATACCTGCTTCCTTTGAATCTCAGACTCATGGGTCTGTGCTCTCCCTGGCACTAGGCAATTTACTGGGCCTGGCAACAGCCCTTGCAGATGAAGGCTGGGCTCTGGATGGTGAGGTGCAGAGCGTGGGAAAGGGGGCCTCTTCCTGCCTGCACAGGGCCATGGCCGACAGTCTTGTGTCAAAAGATGCGTCAGCTAGAGAAAGGCATAACAGACGTATCAGATCAGATGTGGGTGACACCGAAGCCTTCGTGCTGAAGACCCAGCAACCCAGGCTGGGTGAGCTGTGCTTCCTATGCTGAGGCTGCGGGTGAAGCATGAATGGCTTTCGTAGAAATGCGGTGCGGCCCAATGGTGATAGTCTGGGAGGGAAGCCAGGGCTCCGGTTCGTCCGTGCGTGTTCTTCCTGGCCGTCTCTGCCACCTTCCCTTCTTGCTGGTAGAGGGCAGGATCCCCTCTGTAATGGGTCGGGGTTGCATCCTACAATCAAACCAGACAGGTCAAAGAATTCCTCCTGGTGAATTCTCACACAGGAAGGTGGAACAAGAGAGTGATGGGCTTTGTGACTGGCTCTGAAGCACAGGACGTTCCAGTTCCACGCCCCACCTGGGGGAAGAGGAATTCTCATCTCAGTGGCTTGTCTTGGTGGGGAGGAGGGCAGTGAACGCCAGAGAGAAACCTGGTCTCTGAGGCTGCTTCTCAGGCCTTTACTTTGGGGCATTATTTTCTAAGCTGCAACAGTCTTCCCCAGTTTGCCAGGGCAAAAAGAAGCTGGAGTGAAACTCAGGAGTGTTTGACCCTATAGCTTCTTACTCGATTGCTCTCTCATGTCCTTTGGTTCAGTCTTAGGTTTCCCCCACTAGACTGTGAGCCAACAATGATGTCTTCTTTATCTCGGGTCCTGAGCATGGTTCTTGGCCAAGGTAGATAATAAATGTTGAAGCAGGAAGGGAGGTGGAAGAGAAGGAAGGAGTGAGTCATGAGATATTATTAACAGGACCGTACAGTCAGCAAACAGAAGCCCAGATTCTGTTCACGTTAGCTGTGGGAAGGACAGCTGTTAAGGAGGGACACCCATTTTTAGGCCCTCATATAGAATAGACAAGAAGTTTCTAAAAACATTTTATCAACAGAAGTGCCAAAATCTCTCCAGCCTTAACCTTAGTTGCAAAGGAAATCACCACCACCCAGGGGTTATGTAAGCTGCTCAGGATGATTTTCCATTTTCCCAGAGCTGAGAACAACTTACCTGCAAGAATTGGTATCCTAAACTTGCTGAACCAGATGCAAATGCAGGTGTCCTGTGGTTTTCACAGCTGCAGTTAAGTGTTTAAATTTGGTTTAGAGATTGCATTTCTTTCTCAGGGACAGTAAATTTTTTTTTCATTTCCTGTGCTGAAGAATCTAGTCAATTACTTAATTGCAGAATAACGAGCCATATTTCTACTTCCAAATATGTATTCTTGTCATTTTAATGCAATAAGTGCCAAGAGATTTGTACAAGCAGGAAGGAAGTTGGTTGCATATACACCTTGCTGCAGTCCATCTGAGCTGCTTGAATTATACACCTAAAGATGAGCAAAGGTTTTATTTTATTTGTTATCGGTGCTGCTGCTGCTGCCACTTGCATATTCCCAGGAGATTTTATAAGGACGGTTACTTAGCATAAATGCTTGGCCAGTGAGTACAGTACGGCGTATGGAATGGTTGCTCCCCACCCCAGCAGTGGAGATTTCTCCTCCAGCCAGGACAGGTCAGCAGTGCCTCCCTCATGCCCCAGGCAGGACGCCTGCCAACCATGCCCCCCTTGCTTCGCCCACAGCTACAGCAGCACCCTGGCACACTGCATTCGGAGCTTGGGCTAGGCCCGGAGTCCCACCTGGCTAAGGAGGGCTTCTGACCTTTGCAGGAAATAGGGCTCTGTGATCTAGGATATAAACCTAGCAACACTTTTGTCATAATTTTTCAATGAGAGAAAATTACATAAATTGTAAACCAATGCATTACAAATTTGTGGAACTCCGGTTCACCCATCAGCATTAGTACAGGTCTAGGAAGGCAATCTGAATCACGTGAGAAGAACAGGCTGGAGAACTTCACATTTTCAGTGGAGGTGGGGGAGGGGGAGATTGATTTTGACTGTGAGACTGTGATTGCATTAGGGTCATTGAAGGGCTTTATGATCCCTAGAAGAGGAGTCACTGACCTTGGATCAAAGGGTTTTGTTTGTAGTGAACCTTAGGAAAGACCCTTTGTTTGGAGTACAATTTTTACTTGAATCTTTCTAAATACTAATCCCAAAAGCCTCATGAGAGAGAGAGAGGTATTGATTTAAGATGCTTCATCTTATCTAACGATTTTGTCGAACTACCAAAATTCAGACCAACTACAGTCAACTGAAGCAACACACTGGGCAGTGTAGCCCTAGAGCTCCTGACCTGGTGGACTGGACTCCGTGCAAGGACTCTGGGGTTTCCTCCTTGCCACCTGTGACCAGATTCACAGGACCTGTCGGGGTGCACGCCACACTCAGATGCATAGGGAGGCTGTCCCCAAGGACCACACTCAGGTTCAGAGGCCCAGGGCCCAGCGGCTGTCCTGTGCTGGCGCTGAACTGGAGATGGGGCCAGCTCCTCCCTCCTGACCCGGGCGAGGAGCCCTGGGGCTGTGAAGCCCAGGTTAGGCCGCTTCCATGGGGCCTTTGGGGCTGCACCACTGAGTCTTGGGGGTGCTTGGAGCTGGGAGGTCGGTGCGTTTATCCAGCCTTCCGGCTGCCTGGCAGTGCCAATTCACGCTGCACCTTAACCAGGAGCCAGCCGTGAGTCCTTTGGTGCTCGGGCTCTTGAGAAGTCTGTAAACAGACGTGTTCAAGTCCACATTTGCTCATACAGAATCCAACACACCAGTCAGTTAACAGGAAGGACATTTTAGAAATGCTGAATCTCAACCCTCCCCCAAACAGTAGTCTTCTAAAAGCAAGCGTCACCAGATTACAGCAGAAAATTCTGAGGCTCGGGTCTGAGCCAGGGCTGACGATCTGGGGTCCTGTCAGGAGCCAGGACTCTGGCTGCTGCCTCCCGGACGCAGAGTCTCTGCCGTCCTGGGACAGCTGCTATTTCTGTGTCCAGCTGACCTTTGGGCCACAGTGCTCCTCCTCCTGCCCCACACTGCTGGAGTGCTGACCTGGCCGATGGTACCACGGCCAGAAACAGGGCCAGGAGGTAGGAGATGGCCTGTCTCTTCCAGGGCGAGGGTGCAGGACCTGAGCCCACTTCATGGGTGCGATGATGGGGCCCCGCTCCTCCTCCAAGCTGACCCCATGCCTGCCTCCTTCCCCCGCCCTCTAATCTCCTCCAGCCCCACACTCCCAGCCTCGTGCGCATGGCCCCCATTTTTCCTCCACCACCTTCCAAACCAGGTGCTTCCACCTTGAGGTGAGAAGGGAGGCTGCAGCCAAGGGTCCTGCCACCCTGGCCGAGGGTCCTGGTGCCTTAGGGAGTCTGGCAGCTTAGGGCACACGAGGGCCCACCCCCTTTTGTGGACTGAGCCAGAAACATCACGGAAATGTGGGGCCTCTGTGAAGTCACAGGTGCCAGGCCGCTGCTGTGCCACACCCCGGGGACAACTCTCCAGTTTTAGCTGGTTTGGACTTCGGAAACTGGCAAAGCCTCCGAAGCCCTCCATTTGGGGATTGCCATGTTAGAGCCTCTGCTGTGTCCTCCTCCTTCCTTCTAGGGGCTTCCTCAGCTGCACCGTGTTTGGGGGTGACTGCCACAGGGGGAGGGAGGCTCTCCTGAGCACCCCGTGGAGCCATGGCATCCTGGGCCTTGTCCCTGGGCACTTGGCAGTAGTGGTCATGACGCCACTGCCTTCCAGGGCTCTGCTGGTGGGTTTTCAGAACCCTTATCCCTCCCTCGGGGCTCAGCTCACATCATTCTTTTTCTGGGAAGTTGCTTTTGATCGCCCTGCACAGAAGCTTGTCTTCTGACCTTCCTGTTTAGTGCAGCACTTAACTCAGGCTGCCTTTGAATTGCGGCTCCCTGCAGCCGTTTCCTCTGCTAGATGGCCAGCCCCTGAGTGCCCTGCTGTCTTCAGTCCATCTTCGCTCTGGACCTCACCTAGCACACGGGAGGCGCTCAGGAAATATCTGTGGAGTGGTTGAGTGAGAATCTGAGTGAACCGATGTGTTCCCGTGTGGTCCGAGGATCTGGCAAAGCAAGGGCATCACTGACTAAAGCATGCCAGGCCGGTGATCCCGTGCAGAGCATCAGGGACGGCTCACTTGATGCCCAGGGCCCCTCCCCAAGCTCTTGCTGGCACCTGCAGCACTGCCCGTCCCTCCTCAGGGCAGCTTCCCGCTGTCCTCAGGCCCCGGAGACTGCGCCCCACGTGAGCGGCTGCTCCCAGTGCTGAGCTCCTCACTTCGGTGCGGCTCTCTCCACACCAGATGTGGAGATGCACGGCACGTCAGATCCTTTCCAGAGACGGTTCTCGGATAGCAGTGAGGAGGGCGGGCGTGGAGGGTGCTCTTGAGAACACCCCTGTGGCTTGGCCAGCTCTTCATGCTGCGTGGCCTGTGCAAGCTGTTCGGAGATAGCTCTGCAGGGAGGCAGCCCCGAGGCGCCCCCCTCCCTCCTCCACCCCAGAGTCTAAAGGGGTGGTTAACAGAAGAGGGGCAGTCTGCTCTCTACACTTCTCTTTGTTGCTAAGGGAGAGTAAAAAAAACACTGGCAGCACCTGCAGGTGAGGTGCAACATACAGGAAACAATCAGGACGTGGCAGGGCACCTTGGCGATGAGCTGTCCTCAAAGCTGCGTTTCACAGGACTCCAAGACAGGAAACCCCCATCCACAGCCCGCAGGAGCACAGCTGATGGACAGGCTCCAGTCATCGCTCGCCCACTCTCCCGGTCTGTCCTGGTGTCGCCAAGGCAGTGGCTGCTGACCAGCACCCTCCCTGGTGGAGCAGGGCCACGAGTTGGGGTTTCAGTACCGTCGGTTCCTTCCTTCTGTCCCTAAGTCCCCACCCCATCCTCCAAGTCACCTCAGCAGACACCGAAGATCCAAACGGAGAACGACACCGTCCAGAACTGCACTGCTACCTGGAGCTCTCCAGCTGTGAGGCGAGGCAGCTGGGTCTCAAGCTCCCACAGCTGCGTTCTCTCCTTCCCCGTGGCAGGCCATCTGGGAGCTGGCTGAAGGGCTCTGAGGAGAGCGCCGGACTTGGTGACTCAGGCTGGGAGTGATAGAAATGAGTGCAGATCTTTTGTTCCTGTAAGAACGCATTTGGAGGAGTGCACCTTTAGGAAGCCCTTTAGCTGCCACCCTACCCCCTTCCTGTCTTGTGTGCCCAGCATTGGTGCGTTCCCCCTGGAATGCAGTGTGGTCCTGGCCACATTTCATGGTGACAGTCGGGGTGTGAAGGTGCCAGACACAGGTCTGTACCCACGGCTGACCTCCCTGCCCCACAGCTGTCTTGAGGCGGAAGTGAATTACCGAGGTGTAGTGTGGCCGGTGGCTCAGGAGGCAGCTGGCCCAGAAAGGATGCCGTGCTTTGTATGTTCCCAAGCAGAAAGGACACAGCTCTTGAAGGGGGCCCCGCAGAGGCACAACAGGATCAGGAGCCGGGGAGAGGGCAGCTAGGGCCAGTGCCTGGAACAGGTGGGCAGGACTGGACTGTCTCATGTAATACAGTCCAGGGCAGAGGGCTGCTCCTAGTCCTCGGGTACCTGGGCCTGGGGCCAGATGGTAGTGGGCAGTGGCCTCGAATGTGTGTCCCCACAAAGAAGGTTTAGGGTATGGGCTCCATGTGGATCATTTTGAGTATGAAATGAAAGGTGTGTACTCAAGGACGCAGAGCAGTCCTTGACTCTGTGAGGATTGGGGAGCCCTGGAAGGGGCAGCCCTGCGAGGGTCAGGAAGGCCCCAGATGTCAAAGCATAACAATACCAAAGGCCTGGGATGAGTACAGCTGGCTGTGCCACTCTGCCACACTGAAGCGAAGGTGGCTCCCACCGGCTCGGAGTGAATGAACGACTGAGTTTCTCCAGGCTTCCAACCCTTGCCAAGCACCCGCTGAGCCCTGCTTTCCAACGGACCCACATTCCTCGGAGTCGCCCAGCAGCTCTGTGCCTGCCAGCGCTTACTCCCCACCTGCGTTCAGGGCGCCCACTCTGTGAGCGGCTGCCCTGGGGTGAGGGGCATCCTCGTGGGTGATGTCAGGCCTGAGTGCCACCCGTGGAAGTTCCGGGGGCGAAAGTCCCATTTTTCTCATCTACTCAAGCGACTTCTCCGAGTCCCCTCCAGCCCATTTGGGTTTTCTTGCCTCCTCCTCCAAATGTCGGGGTTCTAACGATTTAAAACACATCGTTCAGTGATGCACCTGGGGTTCCCCACTTCCTCTCGCTGTGCACAGTTGGAAATAGGGCTGACGTCTGACCTAAGCCTCTGTGTCCAACACCATTGAGAGCAGGGATACAATGGCCAAGAACTGCCCTGCGGGCAGAGGACAGCAGTCCAGGGGGCTGTGTCCAGGGCAGATTCCTACTGGTTTGCTGCCCAGAGCACCGTTTGCAAAGTGAGCGTGTCTGCAGACTGGTACGCAGCGTGGGGACCAGAGAGGGCTCCGGCGTGCACGGCGCACCTGTTCGCCTTTTCTTTTTCAGCCCCTTCCACAGTGGGGTTCAGATGTCCTGTGATTATAACTATATGTGGGACGTGGTCATTCTGGAATTAAACAGTTCTCACTCCCCCCCAGAAGGAGGGGGAAAAAAAAAGAAAAGAAAGGACCAAAGCAATTTCTCTCTTCCCGTTTGTCTATCCTCGGATTTGCCTGCTCCCTACTGAACCCAGTGCTTTTTGAGGAGCAGACAGGGCCATCTGCAGGGGAATTTGCTCACTTTGTGGGTAGCCCGTGCTGTGGCGGCAGCACCGTGGCCCGTCTCCTGCATTCCCCAGAGGTGCCTGGGTCCCGGGTTCCCCAGACTAATGCGTCATCATCTGCAGGTGAAATTACAGCCCAGCTAATGCGGAAGTGGCCTGAGTGAGCTGCAGGAAGAAACCTGTGATGGATGTGGAGTGTAAAACCCTCCACGGCCATGCCATCTCTGTGGCTGCTTGTAGAAGCCTTGTATTTATAACCTCACAGAAGGCAGAAGAGGAGAAAGTGGCTCCAGTTGCAGAGACTGGGTAGCTGGAGCTTGTCTGTGGTAGGTGGTGCAGTGCCTGCCTGCCTGGTGGGTGGCAGCTCACCTGGGGACCCATCAGGTTCCCTGCCAGCAGCCTGATTTTACGATTACCTGCAATTTTTGGTTTGCCTTTGTTTCTGTGCGGTTGTCTCCTAAGAGACGGTTTGTGTGGTCTGTTTGCTGAGTTCACGCACAACACACATCTATTCATAAAAGGCGCCTTGTATTCAGCCTTGTGTCGCCTTCGTAAGGGTCCACCACTGCTTCCTGTCCCGCTTACAGGTGCCACCCGTTTCTCCTCAAGATTCACGGAGGAGTGTGGTTTGCGCCCTAAATCTGGCCAGTTGTGGAGGAATTACACCCGTGGCTGACCACAACCTAACTGCTCTTTTCTTTTCTCCCCCACTCCAGGATTATACTTTAACCATGTATTTCCAACAATATTGGAGAGATAAAAGGCTTGCCTACTCTGGGATCCCTCTCAACCTCACGCTTGACAACCGAGTGGCTGACCAGCTGTGGGTGCCTGACACGTATTTCCTAAATGACAAAAAGTCGTTTGTACACGGAGTGACAGTGAAGAACCGCATGATCCGCCTGCACCCCGACGGGACGGTGCTGTACGGGCTCAGGTCTGTCTGCCTCTCCGGGGCCAGCTTTGCAGTTGCATGGTGCTTGGGCGTTGAGTTTCCCACTTGCCACGATGGTAGTGAGTGGAGCTGTGTCCTCAGATTAATTAGGAGGCATCCGTGAAGCCCTTCGAGCTTTGCAGAAGAAAAAAAATCTCATCACCCTCAGATTTGGGGCACTGATGTTACTAAAAATAGCCGGCAGGCAGTTTGGAAGCAGCCTCCTTGGATGGAGCGTATGTAATTGGGTTGCCGTATCTGAGAACACAGACTCCCCCAGGACGGATTTCCCACATCATAGCCACAAAGGCCTGTAATTAATACTGCCCTGACACTGCAGAGCCTTTCAGAAAGTTTTCTCAAAGCTATTTGACAGCTGAAAAGATGTCTGCTATGCAAATTATAAGGTATAGTCTCCACAGAGCTTCATTGAGCTGGAGCCACGAATATTTATGGGAATGACTAAGAGAGAGACTTCCAGACAGCAGAGCAGAGCTCTCTCCAGCGTGGTCGCTCACAATGAGAAACCAGGCTGCTGAGCTGAGCCCTGAGGGCCCTGGGTGCCTGGAAACCAGCAGACCTTCTAGGGGTGGCTTGTCTGACCTCTGTCACTGCTGGGCGCTACTTAGTTTGAATTTTCTTGCTAAATGGTGCTCTTATCTCTTGCCCAGCTTTGCTGTGCAGTGCCTTTTGTTTTATTTTGAATGGTGTAGGTGTGGGTGTGGGTGTGTCCTCGGGTCCACACACGTCCATTCTAGGAGTAGCTCGAAGTTCTGAACGGAGCACTTACGGATGTCATGGAGATAGACACCTGCAGACTGTTGTGAGTCTACAGCTTTCTGAGAAGACTCCACAGCTAACAGCGGGAATAGCAGTATAAAGTGAAATCCACGCCATTTTGACCTGTGGTGCCTCCAGATGGGTAGAGGGAATGATTGATCACTGCCTTAGGTAGGAAACCACAGGATTAGAGTGAAATTTAGTACTCCTACCATATCAGCTTTTTCAACTCTAAGGAAAAACCTAGCACAGCACATGTGAACCAAGAGCCTGTGACTTTAAAAAGAGCCCATGAAGTTTCTTTGGGGAATTTTCAGCATTTTATATTTTTGCCCCCAAATGACAGATGTGACTGTAAAATCTGGAAGTTCTGTCAGGTATATGGCATTTGTATGAAAGGTCATCCAGAAATGTGATAGGTGACGTGAGAAGACGTTTACCTGCCTCCCCCTCCCGGTGGAGGCCGAAGCAGCCAGGACGCGCTCATGTGTGTGCCTGTGTGTCCACACCCTTGTGAGTGTGTGTGTGTGTGTGTGGTCAGGGGAGAGCGACAAGAAGCAAATACGAAAATCAGTCTTTGCTATTTTAGCTCCGTAAACAAGACTTGCTGAGTTCTCTCCACTTTGCTTTTGCCGTCTTGATTTTCTTACCAGAACTAGAGTACATTAGTATGCTCTTGTTAAAAGCAAGTATCTTTAACACTTCTGGGATAGAGTTGTGTAACAGGCAGGAGAGTGCTGTAATAAATTTTGAAATTTTATTTGAAAGTGTTGGAGGAGCATCACAAAACAGAGTAAGGGGGAAAAAAAAACAAGAAAAGGTTTTAAAATTCTATCTTTTGCTAACACTTGACCTACCCGTAACTTTACATGGAATAATTAGATAATAACGGAATAATAATTTATGAGAAACTTGTTTTATCTTTCTAGTCAAAGGTATATATCCATTATGCCTTTCCAGTAACCTGCTAAACCTGCAAATCGGTTTCTTATAGATGTGGCGGATTTGTGGAAGTGCAGTCTCCATGTGTTAATCAGAACTTTATTTTGAATCTCCTGTTTTTGAAACAGTTGCTCAGATTTTTATGAATGCAGGCATGCTGCCATGGAAAGCTTCAAACTGCAGACCAGCCGTTACGTTGTGTATGTGCATGGCCACTGCATGATGTCGCATCTAGATATTTCTGCCTTGACACTTACAAAAATGCGTAATTGCAGCTATTGATTTGAAAATGTAGACCAGAAAGTATTCAAGATACTGATGTTTAGAAAATTCTCGTTTACATACATTCATTTTATGCTATCCTGTGTAAACCTCGGTACTGTTTATACAGATATTTCGAAGTCTGTGTGTTCTGATAAACACGAGGCTTGAGTGTTCACGTTTTGGGCCCTCTGATCTTGGCCCCAAATCTTGTCTCCCCTTTCATCGCTGTACTCGCTGATGTGGCCAACCGAGGCTGAGACGCTGTGTGACTCCAGCGGCTCATTTATCCTTTTGGTAGCTAAGTATAGACGTCCCTCGACTTAACAGTGGCCTTAAGTCCCAGTGAACCCCTAGGAAAGGTAAAATCCTACTAAGTGAAGCTGTGTGCAGACGCAGCTAAGGCACTGAATGTGGCCGCCGGCAGCACAGCTTCCTGTTGTGCTCCCCGGATGGCCAGCGTCGTGAGAGAATTGCGCTGCCTTTCGCCGGCCTGGGAAAAGAGTAAACGTCGAAGTTTGAGGTCCCATTTCTACTGCATACGTTTGTTTTCACGTCATTGTAAAACTGAAAAATCAAGACTTGAGCCATTGTTAAATGGGGACCGTGTGTACTGCGCGTGGTCGTGGAGCTGGCACAGCTGAGAACACGGAAGCTAAGTTCCCCATCCCGGAAGGCTCGGCCCTGGGCCGCCACAGCCCGCGTGGGAAGGTGCCGTGGGGCAAGGCCCCGCCCAGCGTGTGTCCCTTTCCTCCCGGCTGCGCGCTTGGGCTGCACTGGCTGTGTTTCTGAGGTCTTACGGTGCAGTCTGTCTCACCGCCAGGCACAGCTTGGCTCCGCCCGTCTGAGCTCTGGGAGCCCACCCTGGTAGGTCAGGCTGGACTGCGCACCTCTGCGGGCCTCTTCTGATGTGCGCCCGCCATTGCAGTGCTGGTCGGTGAGGCTTTGGCCCTATCTGGGTACGCAGGTTCTCCGGCTGTGGATAAGCATCCATGACGTAGGTGCGTGCATCAGCTCAGCCTTATTCTGGGAAATCATTGATCCTTCGTTATGATGACTGCAAAAGTAGTCCCTGACTGCTTTCAGGATGCTTCAGATTGGTCCTGCTGTCAGAGGGGCCGAGGTCGTTGTAAACGGAGAGCCATTCTTTCCAACTCCGACAGCCCACTGAGAGTGAACTTCCGGCCGGCACTAGCTGGCATTCTTCCTCTTGAGCTCACTGATCGCAGCGACGAACTGAGCCCCTGCAGAGGTCCGGCCCAGTGTGTGCTGCCAGGGCTGCTCCCACAGGGCCTGCTGCCCCACACCCTGAGCCGGGCGCCAGTTCTTCCAGAATCCTCTGCAGCCAGGACAATCTGGCTGGCTGAGAGACGCGGGAGGCTTGGTCCTGGCCCACCCAGCCTTAAAGGGGACAGGGTTTTGCGTGGTCTGTGAGAGGGCTGAGCCCCGGTTCCCTTACCATCCTCTTGACCTTTCTCAGATTCCGTATCCGCGGTTCCTGGAATGTCCCGCCTGTACAGCTCAGCGTGTGGTATTTCCTTTACCCATCTCGAGCCCGCTTCTCTGATGCTGGGGCCTCCTCAGGAGGTCAGGAATAGAATTCAGTTTCCTCCAAAAGCACCTAAGACTCAGGCTAAGTGATCTTCACCAAAATGAGGTCATTCATTTTGTCTGAGAAGTGTGCTGAAAAATCAGTTTCACAATATATTGTAATATGTTAATTAACATACATGCTGTTAAAATGGATTTAAGTTGTTAACATCATTTCTGTACTTTGAAGTTTGTATTTTATTTATTTATTTATTTATTTTTGGTATCAGGGATCGAACTCAGGACCTTGAGCTTGTGAGGCAGGCAGTGGCACCACTGAGCTAAATCCCTGGCCCTATACTTAGAAGCTTGAGTGCAGTATTGAATCAAAGCTACAAAGTATTTCAAAATATTTGAATTATGCCATTCTAATTGATTTAGCTAGCACCTTATGCTGAAGCTAGAAAAATGGAGCACTTCTGGATAGTTACCACCTTACCCCAGAAAAGATGTGAGCTCATCACAGTGTTAAGGCCCGCCTGACTTGAGTGTTAAGTGTGCGTAACTCGTAAATACTCAGTCTGTCACTATTTCCCAGTTGTTTTTAGGAAAGTAAACATTGATAAATTGCTTTCTAGAAAGGACTGCTCCAGTTTATATTCTCAGCAATGATTATGTATAGTATCTTCAGATTGTGACACTTGCAGTGGGATTTATGGTTATTACGGTTACTAAAAATACTCCCCTTTCTTCAGCTCTCAAGGCTGCAGAAAACCCCATCTCTCCTTAAACCGAGTGCACACATTTCTCTGCTGTCCCTGTCCCCCAGCATGCTCATTCGCTCCTTCTTCATGAGCATTGTTTCTATTTTCTCTTCAGACTTCCCCCTCTGCTCTCACTTGAAGGTATCATCTGATACTTTAGTGTAAACCACAGTGGTTTCTTAATAATAATTTGGCTCCATTGGTTCTGATGGTTCCTTTTCAACTGATATTCTCTCCACTCGTCATGCATGCAGTCCCCACCTCCAGCCGCCTCTAGGTCTCTTTCCTGGATGCAGACACCCTGCCACAGGATATGAGGCGTGATTGAAAAGAGCACACATTGGCGTTAATCTCCCTCAAAATACTCCCCTTTATTTCAAATACAGTGCTAACTCCACTGTTCTTGCCCCTTCCTGCTGTGGTTCTGGAAGATCTCTTTCATGAGTGTCTTAAGTTACCCTGGCCTGGATGCCTTAGTGTTCTGAGTTGATTGAAAACACTCACTTTTCACGGTCATCTTGACTTTGGGGAAGACCCAGGGCTGCACAGTGGCACATCTTGTGAATGAGGCGAACGAAGACTGTCTTGGTTATCTCCCTTGTTGCTGAGACACAAAACCCAACACCCGCAACTGAAGGACAGGTTCACTTTGGCTCACAGTTTCCACCCATGTTGGCAGGTGCAAACACAGAAATGGTAAGACAGAAAGGCCTGCTTTGGAGGAAG